TCTGACCTCCACCTTTTTCTGAAAGGAAAATATGTTAATATTGCGAAGATACCAGTGACACCCAGTTTCTGCACAAACAAGAAGTCACAAAAACATCTAGAATACACACAGACCGGAAAAAAAAGACAAGAGAAAAAATTGGTCTCGCCAAACTGAACAACTCCTTTCAGCATCAACACACAACCACCACCAAAGACATCACCCATAAAACATAAAAGCCTCCAAAACCGACGTATTCAAGAAGGAAACAGTGCATAAGCGCCAACGTCACCCAATCCAACATCATAGGTTTTCACTCTGAAAAAAGACCGAGCTCTCAAAACAATACCTTCAACAAGGCAATTGCCAGACACAACCAATGAAGGCCAGACTTTAGGATTTCACCCTGAAAGTCATGACTCGGCACCCAAGGAGCACCAAGAAAAATAAAATCCTCCAGTGTTGCCACCCCCACTTGACACTGCTGCTATTGAAAGTTATCAAACACCTAGCTGACTCCATCGCCTACAAGGCCCTCTCATTCTTACCGATCCTCCGGTCTTAGTCGTCAAAACTTTCTCCGCCGCTGTCTGTGCCATGGAAATTGAGATGCCGACATGTCCGATAGTGTCAACAAACAACAGAGCTTCGCGGCGCGCCCTCCTGGAGCCACGTAGGCTAATATGGAAGTGCACGACCGGATACTATCAGATACAGATATCCTTGGGCAAGATCTCCGGCAGTAGTTCCGGAACACGTTGATGGCCAGATCGAGGAGGACCGATCATGCAGATGGTTGCGGTGATGCGACATGAGCACAAGGACCTCCACCACACCGCTGCCTCCACCACGCCGACGCCATCGCCACAACCCGCGACTCCAATCGCCAATCTGACGGAACCGGTACCAGCCGCCCCGCCACCTTCGCCAAGCAGCCGCCGTTGCGTACATGCACCGCCGCGCCCAAGGCCTGGCCATCCGAGATGCCACCGCAACACCCTGCGGGAGAGCCACGCTCGCCACGTCCCACGCCGTAGCTACCAGGGGAGGAGGAATAAGGGGCCTTGCCATCGCCGACGACAGCTGGGCTTCACCCGGCTGCGCCATCCGGCGGCTGTGAGGGGAGTAGGTTTGGGCGGCGGCTAGGGTTTCGCCCAGCCGCCAACGGGAGCAACTTGGGCGATCTTCGTGTGGCTAGGAGATATATCGATCCCAAAAAGGTAGGCTTTCTTTGGGAATAAAAGAGTATTGCCACTAGTGAGAGAATCTTGTAAGAGAGATGCGAGCCATAATGAAGGAGGAGGAAGACAACGGGCTAGGTCGAGCTTTGTTTTGGGTCGGGCCTGGTACTAGTAGATTTTGTCAGTTTTTAATTGATTTGTCTGATACTAGTGGCGTGCAAACTATTCACACGCCACCAGTAACACATTAGTAGTGCCGTTGCTATATGTTGGCATGCCACTAGTAACTTGGGTCATATCCCGCCCCTGGGACTTGCTTACACTGGTGTGGGGGATATTTTGGTACACCACCGGTAATATCTTATTGGTGGCGTGCAAATTTTGGTCACGCCATGGATATTTTGAAATAATACCAATGGCGCGGCTAGTGTGTGGCGCCACTAGCATAGATTGCATTTAAGAATATCTCTACTAGTACCAAGGTCACACCAAACATGTTATCATACTTGAAGCAGTGGTATCAGAAGACTTATGGATTTCGCATTGCCAGGTCTCACAATGATATCAACATGCTTTAGTGATCTATGTTGTTTAAGAGACTTTGAGATGGGCCAAGATGCTCTGTCGTGCAACTACACTGTCAATGGGCACTATTACACCATGGCGTACTAGCTACCTTGCCAATGGTATCTATCATCAGTGGCCGTTGTTTATGAATACTATCCACGAGCGTAGGTAACAAAAGTTTTCTCTTTGCACAAATGCAAGGAGCTGCTAGGAATAATGTGGAGAGAACATTTCGAATGATCCAACTTTGTTGGGTTATTATTCATGAAGATGCAAATTGGGATCCCGAGACACTATGAGAGGTGATGACTTGTTGTATAATCATACATAACATTATTGTGGAGGATGGGATTGACGATGCTCGCCATACCTCCAATATTTTAGAGGCCCAAGGTACATGTTCGCCTCCAGAAAGAATATCAAGAGCATGTTGTTAACTTTCTAGAGATGCATCAACAACTTCAACATTAATAAGCGCATATAAAACTACTCATCTTATGAAATATATGAGGATTCATGATGAAAATCATTAGGTTTTAGTTGATTTTCTTACGATTTTTCATTGTTTTATCGTCAAATGATCTATGTGCATGGAAATGCATGGAAATGGGGGCGTAGACGGAGTCCGCAGACAGGAGCCTACCGATCCTCATTGTCTGCCCAGGCAACGGTGCCCCCATTTTTGCACGTATCCACGAACATATGGGGGGTGTCTAATTAGCACAGTCCGGTTAGAGATTCTCGCCAGTCACCGAGACTTGCTCCCTAGCGCTCCCACTGTAGGCTGCTTAATTTTTTAGGCACACTTCAAGCTTCCTCGTGGATTTTTGGAGTTGGATAGGAGTTCCCGATTTAAATCTCAGATTTTTTTTTTGAGGGGAGATTCGACTCTCAGATTGTTGGCAAATCCTATACGGCGCCCTCAACGCCCGTTATAGGTAGACCATAATTACCATCGCTCGAGAGCATATTCACAATTTTTTTTTGTTTAAATTGGTTGGTGATTCTTGGTTGTTCTGCGTACATATAAATAAGCTATCGGTTACAAAACATAGAAAAAAGGTTGTTGGTCTAGTTGGTTATTTGCTATAACGACCAAACATTTTTTTAGGGAATAACGACCAAACATTAATTTGACTTCCAACCTCAAGCGTTTATAGCGATGTAAAAGTCGGGAGGGAGAAACCAACATAGACGAACAAACAGTTCGGGTCTAAGCCTAAAAATGAAATTTGTCTGCTAATTTTAGCGATTCTTATAAAAATGAACTATGCACCCAACGTTTAGTTGTAGCATCGTCGCTGAGAGGTTTGCTTGGACATATGCTCCTTTTCAAGGCATCGTACATGTCTCCCTCTCTCACTTTCCAAGTTTCCATATCTGTGGCCACAGGAGAGAGGTATCTCGTGTGCAGGGGCGTAGCTATGTAGAGCTAGCCGGTGTCATCGGCACCGGGTCCAATTTAAACTTGTTTAATGCAATTCATTGATTTAGTGTGTAGATCATTGAATTATTTAATATGTAGGCATGCATTCTTCTATGTAGACACCGGGTAATTTCCAATCTGGATCCGCCCCTGCTCGTGTGGTATATACGGCAGATGTGACAACCTTGTGGCAAATTTGACAAATCTGACCTATAGACGAAATCAAATTATAGAATGAACTGTCCATTAAACTATTTCACGCAGCTGACCCGTGGCGCCTAGCTCTCAGGCGCTACACTAGTGCAACGCCTGGGAGCTAGGCGCTGCACTGGTGCAACGCCCGGAAGCTAGGCGCTGCACTGTATAGTGTGGCGCCTAGCTCTCAGACGCTGCACACTGTTTTAGTAATTTTCGGATTACACGGGTACGACGCTGACCGTGTAGCGCCTATCTATGAGTCGTTGCACAGTGTAGTGTGGCGCCGTCGTGGCGGGCGCTACACAAAAGGGTCAGGCGTGTGAAATAGTTTCACGGACAGTTCATTCCGTGAATTGATTTCGTCCATAGGTCAAATTTATCAAATTTGCCCAACCTTCTACGCGCTCTCAACAACCACAAATCAACTCTCGATCGTGCGGCTATGGTTTCTTTGAATCTTCTCTTCTCTCGTCCATACACACGATGCTTCGAATCTTGTATTTTCTTCTCTGGTCCACAAACATGCGCTGTACTGACATACACACATGCTTCGAATCTTGTATTCTCTCTCTCACTTTCCAAGTCTCCATATATAGAGTGAAAATATGACATTCTCGTACGTCCTCCTGACAACCACAAATTAATGAGAGCTGGTTGCATTGATTCTTCTTCACAGAAGATCTTTCTGCAGTGCATGGTCATATGTAGCCAAGCCATTGAAGACCGGCCAATGACCATGACTAATAGTCACTCACAGGCTCACAGGTAGAAGACGAGCCAAGGTTGGTCGTGAGTCCCAGTCGAGTTGCCCTGGAGGCATGTACAAATGTGTATTTCATACATTAAGAAGTGTTGATATTTTGCTGGCCAGTCTAATCGAAGTTGGATTAGTAGTTCCTGATTCAATTGCGCAGCCATGGATAACGGATAGTTGTGAGATTCTGACACACACTTAATTTTCACACTACTTCTTTCATCGCCATAAGAGAAGTTGTCATTCTTAATGTTAAGACGGTATCCCGAGGTAAACTTGAACAGCTAATTTCAATCTAGCATATATTTATCAAATAAAAAAATTACATATTTTGGAAGTACATATTGAGATACAGATGCTGGAAGATCCATAATTGTCGATGTTGATGCTCAAGTTCAGACACTGCCCAGTTTAAGTTCAGTCACAAGACACAGCAACGCTTGACTCAGTCATTGACATGTGTAGCTTAAGTACTCTAATAGCTGATGATGTTAGGCTGCCTATTTCTTACATAATGTGTAAAGTATTCCGAGGTGTTTCCGGATGAAATGATGTTTGTTATCCTTGATCTGGGCCTCAACTATGAAAACATTTTAATTCTGGCTGTTGTTCAGGCATTTCGTGTTCTTGAATGCCTTGGTCACAGTACTTTCTTTTTGAAGCAAGGTTAAAATAAGTGTGAAGGTACTTTATGAATCCTGAAAATTCCTAACAACCGGTCACATCTTGTTACGGAGGAAATTAAGCTCGATACTAACTACTAAGTACTGTAAATCAAAGACCACCACCAGCTATTGTTGGTCCTAGAGTTTTAGTAGTACAACACATAATCAGAATCAATACCTACAGATATTTAATCCTATATAACATCTTTCTAAGATATGTCTCCCACTGCTTAATGTTTCTCACTCATGATAGAGTCCAAGAACAACTCTCTAATTTGCCTTTTCTTCTGACCATCCGGCGCACCAAAACCATCCCCGCCTTGGTAAACACAATGCGAGATTCGAGCCAAATTCACACAAGTCTTGGCGAAAGATCTAGAAAATTGGCAATATCTGAATGCATCTTCATTAATCGACTTCCAGGCTTCCATGGTAAGATCTTCCATAGCTTCGCGGGACTCTTGCTCACTGGAGCTGTTCTCCGACATGTGAATAGCTATTGATGATGGTGCATCCCCTCGCTCCAGCTCGGCCTGTAAAACATATTTTCACGACATAAGACACCTCATAAAGATTCAACTTTGGTGATTGAAACAGTATGGGGCAAAACAATCCGGATAAATTTTCCTTACAGAATGGGTTGCAGAGTCGTTGCAAAGGCGAAGAACTAATGACGCGGACTGAACTAATTTAGGGTAGCTTCCAACTTTAGCAAGAGACATCGGGGTGAGCTTTTCATCCACACGGAGCAGGGGAAACGCATGTTGCAGCAACAGTGGAGCAGAGGCTGAAATTGATCCATTGTCCAGATACTCACGAAGTGTTGGTCTATGGTTTCCATGGTGCCACTTTGCCTCCACCAGGAAAGACTCCGCCATGTCTCGCCACTGCAAAATCATGCATATTTTTTACGGTTCCTTGTGAAAACAATTTATATCCTATGAGTAAGGTAATTATGTAAATGAACTTACCGCTTTTTGAAGAACATGACGAGTGTCGCAACCATGTTGTTCCAACACATTTTCAGCCACCTCAGCGGAGGTGTTGTACATCACGGAATAGAGTGCTTGCATGTATTCGGGGAGTTTTTCACAAGGACTTTCTTCCCACCTGAATTTATTTGTATTAATTTTAGATAATGGAAAAGCTTCATTTAATGTGAAACTAACTTGCCCTATATATGTTACATGCTACTCTAGGACAAGAATATTACTTGAATTATGAGAAGTGCACCGTTGCATGTAGTTACCTTCCAATGGCGACAGTGAAGAGAACAAGTTCATCTAGAGTTCCATACACATCATAAACATCATCTAAGTGAACTATTAGATTGGCGACTTTAGCAAGCACTTCTCGACACGCTCCATTGTTTGGCTCCCACACAATTCCACTTGCGTAATGGAAGCACTCCATGAGACGATCCCTGGCGAACCCCAATTTTTCACTAAGGGCAGTCCCCTTCCACCACCTACAGTTAATTAGGTCAATTTTCATATCTTAAAACCCCATCAACTATGTGAAGTAATTAGCAGGCCAATTTAAATGTACGTTTCTTCATGCTCAATTACCTTGCAAGTCTCGCGAGTTCTTCCTGATGCACACTTTGCACATTGTTGAAGTCTGTCGTTGCAAATCTAACGAGCAAAGGGTCGGAATTGTTCTCATCTCTAGCACAGTGATCTATGAACCATCTTGCTTCCAGTCTAGGAGACCTCCGGTGCAATGGAAGGTCCAAAGAACGAACTACACTGCACCGTATGTGGTGATCCATGGATGGCAAGAGCTTTATGAGAGCTTTCTTAGAAAATGCTCTTGCCTCGTCCAATGTTTCCTCTCCTCCGAACGCAAGGTATGAAGCCTCGTAGAGTGAGAGGAGTCCTCTGACATCGTCCGATCCACGCTTGAGAGTTTCCAGAGATGCTATAATATACGTTACCACGAAACAATGTCAGTTAAGTACTTAAGTATACAAAACCTAGCCATACACACAAGTCAAAGTTTCAACTGTGATTGCATCTGGACCATGCATTTGGTGCAGATATGTATAATCTCCAAAATTTTGTCCGTAGTTTTAGGTTTTTCTTACAGCCTCTAAGTGTTTGCTTTTCATATTTCATATTTAACTAGGTACCTGGAGGGAAGAAGACTGGGAAACCAACGTCCCTGAGCAACCTGAACCTCAAGGCCGTGGAAGCAACATCAACATCATCCCAGTTGCACCGGTGAGGCTTGTGGTGGACGGAGCTGAGGATACCGGCGATCTCCTCCTCGAAATGGTAGGCGATGCCGAGCCGTTGCACTGTGTCGACAAGCCTGAGCTTCGCAGCTTGGTGGTCGCCTCGGCTCGCCGCCACCAGCCGCTCCCTCACGCCGGCCTTCAACATATCGACCTGTGACATCATCCATGCATGCACGGAATAATTTCCATGAGTAATTCACCTACTTTATGTACTACTTGCCGGTTGAAAATACGATATGTTCAGCTGATAAATGTACTTGATCTGCCTTTCCGCCATTGTTGGGCGAGAGCTGGAGGAGGGAGTCGTAATCCCAGGAGCTGGGAGCGTAGTTGGCAGACCGCCGAGCCGCCGCGGCACAGCGCACCGTTGCCGGCGAGGACGTCCGAAAGCATGTACTCATCGTGGCCATTGTTTGCTGCAATTGCCACGCCATGGTGCTGCGCGCTGCAATCTAGCTACTTTTGCTTGGTGCGTACAAGTGGAGTACTACTTGGTACTTGGCAGCGAGAGCTTGGCAACGAGGTTAGTACTTCTAAGCTGTAGTAGCCAATAAACTTACTGCTTTTTGTTGTTTGAGAGTAGCCAGAATACGTGCCAATTTATAGGCGAGCAACCTAGGCACCCAGCAGCATAGCTGACTCAGCCCGCATGAAAATCGTGGGACATGACTCATACCGAATTGCTAGTAGTATTTCTTTTCAGCCACATATTTTGCTGGTGAATAGGGATAATTTTTTCCGGAGGATAATTTTTTTTACCCAGATATCCAACGAACGTTAGATTTTTAGGCATGAAAAAATTACTAACGTTTTTCATAGAAATTTGTGTTCGTGGAGGATGACAAGTTTAGTTGGTGAGCATGTCAAATCCGCTTGATTTAATTTTTTGCCAGAATATATCCGTGTTTGCAAGCTAATTTTGCCATCCTCACACCAATATGAATTATTATGAAAACTGTTTGTTTACCATGGCTAAAAATCAAACTTTCTGTTTTTCTAGCAAAATTCCATACAAACCACTGAGAACTTACTAATACTCATTTCCCCAAACCATGGTGGAAAATACATAAAGGGACCTCCTAAAAAAAGCATGGCTGGAATTAAAATTCAACGGACCGGCGTGCTACATCTTCAACTTCCCCAAGAATGAATTGTTCCTCTTCAAATTGCCAACATGAACAATTCTTCCTCCCTCCTTCACCCCACCGGTCCAATCGCCTACCCTCTGCGGTGGTACCCCGCAAGCCTAGCGGCCTTACACAGCCTGAGCCGTCTCCTCCGACCATCCATCTATACCGCCGCGAGAGCTATGTCTCGCTTATAGTGAGGCGATAGCTTCTCTTGCGTCGAGCGTGGATGTTCCTCTCGCTGAAGTTGCTTGCATATGGGCCGGCCCATCAGTGTATGTTCGCTGCTGCCGCTCACACGCTGCAAGTTCGGTCGCTGTAGGTTTTCTCCATTTTTTCTATTTTTTATTTACTTTTGTTTTTTGTTTGGTTTTATTATTTCTTCTTGCTATTCCTTTTTATAGTTATATATATTTTTGTTTCCCTTTTGTTTTCTTTCTTTGCTTCCTAGTTTTTATCGGTTTTCTTTCTTTCTCATTTTCCTTCTTTTGTTGGTTTTTGTTTATTTATTGGTTTTCAGTGCTCTTTTTTCCTTTGATTCTTTATAGGTTTTCACTGTTTTTCCATGCTTTCTTTATTGTTTCCTTTTTTGTTTCTTTTGTTTCTTTTTTGTCTTTCATGTTTTTTTATTGTTCTTTTTTTCTTTTTATTTTCATTCTACATTTTTCATATATGTCAAGACTAGTTTTCTAATACAAATTAAAAAACTTCAAATACAATTTTATTTTTTTTAATACATGGTCAACATTTTTTCCATACATATTTTTAACAATTTTCAAATTTTTATTTAACATTCTTCAAATACAAGGTTAAGATTTTTTTCAAATACATGGTCAAAAAATTATATACAAATTTAAAGCATTGCTTGACTATATTTTTGAAAGACAGAATTAACATATTTTCATGCATGGTCAACTTTTTTTCAACACACATTTAACATTCTTCAAGTTCCTGATTAACATTTTATCAAATACATGATTAATATGTTTTTAGTACAGGATCAACATTTTTAATATACATTTAACACTTTCAAATGCTTCATTAACATTTTCAAAGACCAGCTTAGCATTTTCTAATACAACACAAAATTAACTTTTTTAATTACATGGTCAACATTGTTCTACATAATTTAACATTTTTCAAATGCTTGATTAACATATTTTAATTACTTGTTTAACATTTTCTAAATACATGATCAAATTTTTCACACACTTTTAATATTTTCTGTATACATTTTTCTTACGCTTGCTAAACATTTTGTATATAGAGTTAACATTTTATAAATGCTTGATTAACATTTTTTTAAATATTTTATGCATTTCTGTAATATATTTGTTTATAATATTTAGAAGTATAAAGAAAGAAAAAATGAAATCAAAAACATTAAAAACACAAAGAATTGAGGCCGTGGCCAACAGGACGCCTGGGCCGGCCATGCTGGCGCTCCCGAGACACAAAACTTCCCTATGTCTCAGAGCATCTCCAGCCGTTGCCCCCCCCCCCAGTACGCGTAAAAATCACCCCCTGGGGGCGAGCCGGCGATACAATCGGCGCTGGGGGCGGTTTTGCGTCCAGCCGTCACCCCTAGGTCGACCCCAGGCGCCGATATTGGCCCACTTTCGGCGAATAAAGGGCCCATATGGGCGAGAATAGGCCCATATTCGGCGTGGCTCGGTGTTCAATTATCAACATAAATATTTTTTATCACATAGTTCATCACAGAAAATCAAATAGTTCAACAAAATAGTGCAACAACAAATCGTTCAATACAAATTATATAGTTCAACAAATAAAACTCATATTTCATCACACGTCGCGCCCGGCGTCGTCCTTGAGCCTCCATAGGTGCTCCACCAGATCCTGCTGCAGCTGATGATGCACCTGTGGGTGTCGGATCTCCTGACGCATACTGAGATAGGCAGTCCAGGTTACCGGCAGCTGGTGATCAACTTCGGCTAGAGGACCCTGCCTGTAGTATGGTTCAGTGTTAAACACTGGGTCTTCTTGCTCGCTCTCGATGATTATGTTGTGCAAGATGGCACCGCAAGTCATGATCTCCCACATTTGATATTTCGACCAGGTCTGAGCATGGTACCGGGCAACAGCAAATGGAGATTGAAGCACACCAAAAGCCCGCTCGACATCCTTCCTGCAAGCCTCCTGACACTTGGCAAAATAGGACTTCTTGCCTCCTGGCACAGCGTTTGAGATAGTCTTCACAAATGTAGACCATCTCGGATAGATGCCATCAGCTAGGTAGTACCCCTTGTTGTAGTGCCGCCCATTGATCTCGAAGTTCACTGGAGGAGAATGACCTTCAACAAGCTTGGCAAAGATAGGGGAGCACTGCAGTATGTTGATGTCATTGTGAGTTCCTGGCATACCAAAGAAGGAGTGTCAAATCCAGAGGTCATGTGTGGCCACCGCCTCAAGTACCACACTACAACCGCCTTTGGCGCCTTTGTAACTCCCCTGCCAAGCAAATGGGCAATTCTTCCATTTCCAATGCATGCAGTCGATGCTTCCAAGCATCCCAGGAAATCCTCTTACTGCATTCTGTGCTAGGATCCAAGCAATGTCTTCCAAATTGAGTGTTCTCAAGTATTGCGGTCCAAACACTGCCACCACTGCCCGATAAAACTTGTAGAAACACTCTATGCTGGTGAACTCGGCCATGCCCCCATAGTCGTTGAGTGAATCACCGGGAGCTCTGTATGCAAGCATCCTCATCGCTGTCGTGCACTTCTAGATCGAGGTGAATCTAAGTTTGCCGGTGCAATCCATCTTGCACTTGAAGTAGTTGTCGAACTCCCCGATGGAATTCACAATCCTGAGGAAGAGCTTTCGGCTCATCCGATAACGGCGCCGAAATGTTTTGTCGCCGTGAAGTGGAGCATCGGTGAAGTAGTCGGAGTAGAGCATGCAGTAGCCTTTGAGACGATGCCGATTTTTTGCTTTCACCCGCCCCGGCGCCGAGCCACCTCGCCGCGGCTTTTCATTGCTCGCCAGCAGCTGGGCGAGGGCAGCGAGCACCATTAGATGCTCTTCTTCCTGGACGTCGGTCTCGGCTTCCTCCTTCAGCAGCGCGCCAGCGCATCCTCGTCATCCGAGGCCATCGCCGGGGCCGGCAAATCACCGAACACCTGCGCCCGGCGGGCTTGTACCCGCCGCTAAACTGCCCCTCCGCGG